GCACTTTGTCACGCTTTGCCCAAATTTGCACTTAGAAAAAAAAAGCTTTATCAAATTATTTAACTTTTCGACATTTTTAGAAATCCTCATGTTCCCATTTGAATATATATATATATTTATAATCGTCAAAGTTTTTAACATCAACCTAAAGTACATCTGATATAGATATTGTTCTGTTTATATAGGTATTGGAAGATTAACATTCATGCTACCAGCTCATCATCGAACAAGCTGTATAATTATTGTTCCCTCACCACCAAAATTGTGAATTTTGACGAAGAAAACTGTGGACCATTCTGTTCTCGGATTCACAACCTCCCACTGTCTGTTCGATTGGTTTCGAAGAATAGACTTGAACGTACTTTTCTTTCCCGCCGAAATTTATAGTTTTGGTGATGAAAAAATAAAAATCCCTGCTTAGTGAGAAAATTGCTTACAAAACATTAAAATAGTACGAAATTATACAGATGATTTAAATTATAATTGGTTATCTAATAAACAACAGAACTAAAATTAATTGAGAGATTAAGGTGTTTCGTATTTCTTACTTACAAAACTCATCTGAATAAACAATTAATACTTAATCGAAACTGTACCGTACGCAACCATGGGCTGAAATACCATATCAGGGACTCCAAGGTTCAGGTATAGCTAGCCCTAATTTGGAATTGCTAGTTAGAGAGAGAGAGTGTGTGATCAGTTAGTAGAACTTGCCAACTACAATAACTTTTAACCGAATAATGGGATTGGCTCTTAGCTATAACGTCTCTCATCTGAAAGTGTAGAGTGTGTTCAGCAGCATATCGCGGTTAAAGCCTAGGGCACATCCGAGTAACAAGGTATAGCTATCACACACACAGACAACCTGAACCCAGTTATTTGCTGATACGATGAAGTGGGGAAATTTGGTATATATATATATGGCTAAAAGTGTAAATAAAGTGAGGAAAACATATTTACTTCAAGCAATACCTAAGATAGTTCATAACTAAAAGCATTTTATATAAATACCCTAGAGTGCTCCTTCCAAATTAATCAGTTTCATAACACGTGAACTGCATTAGACAGTTACGGAGAAGGGTTTCGAGTTAACATTCTTGAGTTAAAAACTCACCGATAGATTACATGCTTCAATTACATACTTCAATTTGGAAGTGGGAGGTACAATATTTGTATTCTAAAAATTCATTCCCAGCTTCTTGTTTCAAACTTCTGATTATAAAATATATCTTACTATTTCTCTTTTTGTATGTAAACATACTCAACAGTGAAATATCTTGCCATTTCTTTTCTTATGTAAACGTATTTAAGAGGGATTTATAGAAATTACAAAACTCAGTGCATTTTCTCTACAGGTGTCAAACACCAAAGCCGGTGAAAGCATGGACACTATGAGAAAATACTACAAAATGTCTGCTCAGATGTTATATTCATAATGTTGATAGTTTATGAGTGTTTGACTTGTCATTTTAGTTAAAGTTTGGATCGAGTTTTGTTCAGCTTGTCATATGAATTTTGGTGTTGAATAAAAGCCCTTGTGGATATATACCAGTTAAGAAAACGATAGGACACATTTTGGCTTGGTATTCACACACATTTCTTAATATAGAAGTGTAAAAAATGTGTAAATAAAAAAATAAGAAGTAGGAATGGGAGCACCAGAAAGTAAGGAAACAAGGTAGGAATGAACGAGATAATATTACAGCACTTGGTGGTTTCTAACACAATGCAATCTCAAAGTGGGTGTGGCCATTGTTCCTTCCATTCCTACTTTGTGTGCTTTTTCTAACTTGGTAATTGTTCAAACTAAATGAAATATAGCTAAATCTCTCTATTGTAAACTTTGTTTCAGCAACCAAGTACAGATACATGTATGTGATCAAATTACGCGACCCTAACAAAATTCGTGACATCATAAGGGGATATTTGATGTTGTAAGTGAGACTGGTAAGGGGTAGACCAAAAGAATAGTATCAAATCCACGGATTTTTAAAAATTTAAAATTTGTCGAGTATTTAGAAAAGATTAGCTATTGATAAAACTCAATTCAAGTCCAGAGTTGGATCAACGTTCAAAGTAAAACACGAAGTAGGAATAGACGGTACGATGGTTATACCTACTTTGAGATTGCTTTGTGTGAAAATCACCTTGTGTTTACTGTTATCTCGTCCATTCCTACCTTGTTTCCTCACTTTTGGTGTTCCCATTCCTACTTCCTAATTTTTATTTATTAAATTGTTTTTACACTTGTCTCATAGCTTTTTTTGTACTAAGCCTTGAGGGTGACTGGGCTCTAGGCCTATCCTTATCGTAGCTTTTCTTAGAGCTATCTCTCAACATTTCCTGGCTTTTGCTTATCTTTGCTATAGCTTTTCTTTCATGTAGCCAGGGTGGCAGCCTTTTCTTTGGCTGTATTAATGGCTAAGACTTGTTTCGCATATTCAGCATTATTGATTCTAACCTTATAACTATTCTTGCAGTCATACGCTCTTCACTGGGACAAAGCTTTTCAAATTTATCAGCATAAGATTTTCTCTTTTCTTCTCGTTTTGATTCCTTGAAAAGCATGTTATAAAAATCGCACTGTTTCAAGTAGAAGCTTAGATGTTGATAGGTCATACTTAGTTTAAAAGCAAAGCAAAGGTAAATTATACATCTTATTGATCTTTTTTTCATTCCAGAACACTCGAGCAAAGCCATGTCAGACTTCAGCAATGGTAGCGTTCGTCCTCACGTCTTAGGCACCGTCTGCTATGATACAATTGCTTTGGTCAACATAGAGCCTTTGAGTCAGATGTATGGAACTGATAATTTCGCTTTCAAAGGTTAGATCATAGTTAGAACCTATATCTAGAAAATCTACATAGTTCACGTTTTTTATCTAGCTCATACAGCTGCAAGTTGATCAAGTAGCATGTGTGCATAAACAATCGCACACACGTACGTGATATAAGAGCAGATTGTTACTAGGCAACTCACAGAGTGTGCTAGTACTCATAGAATATGGTTACTGGTTTATTGTTAGATTCTTAGTAGTACTGCAAAATGGTTATTGTTATTTCCAAGGTTATAAGTAAAACTAAGGAAAACGCTTTTAGCCAAGGTAACATGATCCACTCATGTGCATTTAGATTTGCATAAGGTGAAGGCAGAAGAGAGCTATTTATCCCTTTCTAACAATGTTAATTATTCAGATAGTAAGAATGCCGTTGGTTTGTTTACTACTCAATGGTGTGTATAGAGTGCTCATAAAGTTTTTTTTTTTATTCTGTGTGCAGTATGTTTGAGATTTTATTTTGTATTACACATATTGCACATCTGGCCCTTTCTACTATAAGTACTATCGTACTTATGATACCAATTTCACATAGCTTGTAATAATAAAATATAAATCATCGTAGCAACAAGAACTGGACAACAGAAGAACAAAAGTATCAGGAATATTGAAAATACTATTTTAAACTTCATCGTCTGAGGTTAATTTCCAATCCCTTTAAGTAAAAAGAGTAAAAAAATGCAATAAATATATACTACACTTGATGATAAACGATACTCAGTACATTGAGTTTAACTTACACTTATTTGTCTGTTGAACTGTACTAGCTTACCATATCTATATGTGATAATTTAAGTGCAGTGAAATTCATCTATTTTCTGACATTTACATAAACTGTTTTATTAACATGATAACATGTACATAAAGTAACTAAAAGTATATATATTACACCCGGAAATACATATCTTTCTAAGATCACTTCATTAACACATTTTAATCAAACTTTATTTTCTATATTCACGTACACTGCATTAAAATGAAAATATCGGTAAATTATAGTAACATTTTTAAAAACCTACAAGAATAGTAGAAAGACGCTAATCTTTTGTAGAGTCTAACGTTTGTACAATATAACAATTTGTGAGGCCGAGACTCCCACTCCTTTTAGTATTTACTCTCGAGCTCAGGTTTAACAAATACAAACAGTATAATCCACATGAGGATATAATCATATTTTATGTTAGTTTTACACGCTTATTTGTATCACAGACAATGGATTGATATTTATGATAAGGGTAGAAATTTATCATACTTTTATGATACAGAATTATTTACTTAGTACGGTTTAGCTATGGTAAAAAAAGCGAAATGAGTTCTACGAAACGTAAACGAACTTTCATATAAGTTCGAGGTTTTGTCTCTCTCTCACTCCCACCAAAACTAAACAGATGAAAATGCGAAATATGTAAGCATAAAAACAAAACAAAAAACTATATACCGTGCTTATAATGTACTGTATTTACATTACGTTAAACACATCACATTTAGATGTTATGAATTAAAACAGTATTAACTCTAGATCTTACGAATGTCATTATCATATTTTTCATAATTGTTACGAACGTCGATATCATTACGTTTTCCTATCGTGAAATTAAATATTATTGCTTTTACTTATTAGAAAAATAAAATTAAGAACAATAGAAACACGGCAGTTGTATAAAGATTTTTATTAAAAACTCAGCTGAAACTGAGTTTTGTTTATTTGTTTATCTTATAACAAAGCAACATTGAGCTTTGAAAGTGCCTAGACTTATCTCTGTCTCGCCGGAGGACAAATGAGTTTTGATAAATTCATTTAATTATTATGAACGTAATTAGTATAATTATTCATTATTTATTATTAGCGTAAATATGATTAAATTATCGATACACTAATTAATACCATGCTTCATTTTATCTAAATACCAAGCAACATTCTAATTGGTACAAACATTTAAACATTCAAGTGAAAGGGTTTGTTTCTATTTCTAAGTATGCTTTGTTATTTTCTGAAAATACGGTGATCATATAAAATTATTTATACAATTTCTTTATGTGAGAAACTTAGATTCAAAATAAAACAAAATACAAACTTCAGAATAGTTGGAAGAAAAATACTGCAGATGGTGCTCAGAGTTGTTTTATGTAAAGAAATGGATAAACGAAGTACTCAGGAACTTACCTATCGATAGAGATTGCCATTAGGGTAAATACGCTGGCAGCTACTGACAGAACAGAAATGAAGTTGAATATTTTGCAATATGCACTACCGAAACGCCAGTCGCCGTTCAGCATGTAAGAAAAGTTGAAGATGACATTTAACGTCGATACCATAGTATCTGCCAAACTTAGATTTACTAAAAAGTAATTGGTGACAGTTCTCATTCTTCTTTGAGCCAAAACGATCCAGATGACGATAACGTTGCCTCCAGTAGCAACCAGGACCATTCCTCCAAAAGCAAGACTCCATAACGTCTGTTGCCACCATGGAAGAATGTAAACGTTTTCTGTTGGAATGTCGTTTAGAAACGTATCATTGGCAGATAATAAAGTGTCATTTTCATCCAACACGTAGTCTCCATTCATATTCTGGTCCATTTCAATTTGTTAACATCAGAAAATTGTCTCTCAAATCGTACATCAGTTCATTTAATACAGATTATCGTTTGTTCTTTAAAAAAAACCAATGTTTCTGCGTGAAAGATACCTTTACAAACTGAGCTAAATGAATAGTGACAACCAGGTGCTTTAATTTACTATAGCTATTCTTTACATATTACAGGCTATTGAGTATTTTTGCAGAATGAAAAGTTGATCAAGAATTAGAATTTCATTGAATCATGTACAACTTACAAAAGAACCAAGCAAGTTAGTTTCCGGGGAAATTCAGATTCGTGTCTCTAACCTGCGACTAGCGATTCATAAAGAGCACGACTTCTAACCAGTAACTTACATCTGTGAGAGTAGTTCAAGGAAGGGGTGATGTGAGAGTGACGACACAGTGCGCACACGCAGAAGGAGATCGGTGGGATTTCTTCCTTTTGGGTCAATAGAAATTCACTTTATTTAATTTTGTCGTTCGACACAACGACAAATAATAAATACAATACATTTCTTTTCAGCTTGAGTACATAAAAAACATGTAAAACAACATTTTATTGTGAAATTTTTAAAAAAAAAGGTTTTTAACTCCAAAAGTGAGTCTTCAGCACCTGAAAGATTACTAACACTGTGAGAAAGCACATGAAAGGTTACAAACACTATCATTCAACACCTGAAAGATTACAAACATTGTCAGTCAACACCTGAAAGACTAAAAACACTGTAAGAAAGCATATGAAAGGTTACATTGTCAGTACACTATTGCTAATGTCTAAAATGTGATATTGGTTACCAACAGCTAAAAGTACCTGAAGTATTAATACGAAGTAACACTTGAAAAATTACCATTTTTTAACACCTGAATGACTGGCTGTGCCGTTAGCTGTTTGAAACCTGGACGACTGTATTGTTAGACAACACATGAATGACTATACTATGTTGTTACACTGAAAGCTAAAATAATGAAATACTTGGAAAGTTACAATAGCGAAACATTTTGAAAAGCTAAACCATGGAAAGTTACTTTGTAGAAACATCATAAATAGCTACAATGCTATAACAAAAAGAAAACTACAACACCTGAAAGATTACAAACACTGCCTTGACTGACAATATTTGTAATATTTCAGGTGCTGCCTGACACTGTTTGTAATCTTTCAGGTGTTGAATGACAGTGCTTGTAACCTTTCATGTGCTTTCTCACAGTGTTTGTAATCTTTCAGGTGCTGACTGACAGTGTTTGTAATCTTTCAGGTGCTGACTGACAGTGTTTGTAATCTTTTAGGTGCTGACTGACAGTGTTTGTAACCTTTCATGTGCTTTCTCACAGTGTTAGTAATCTTTCAGGTGCTGAAGGGCAGTGTTTGTAATCTATCAGGTGTTGACTGACAATGTTTGTAATATTTCAGGTGCTTTCTCACAGTGTTTGTAATCTTTCAGGTGTTGACTAACAGTGTTTGTAATCCTTCAGGTGCAGACTGACAGTGTTTGTAATCCTTCAAGTGCTGCCTGACAGTGTTTGTGATCTTTCAAGTGATTTCTGACAGTGAACTCTTCAAATATTGGCAACAGTATGTTTAAGCTGCAGCCTTTCATTTACTGGCTAACAGTGTTTAAACTTTCAGGTGCTAGTTAATAATGATATTTTGAGTTGGACAACAATGCAATGTTTTATATGTTTATGAACAATGTATTGATTCTGCAACTTTTCAAGTGCTGACTTACTGTGTAATCTTCAGGTAATGCGATTGTAGCATTTCAAGGGTTATAGGCTTATAAGTAATACTTTACTCTGTTTGTGATCATTCGGGTCTTGCAGTCTTTCAGAAGTTAGTTAATAAGATTTTATGAAGGGTATATTTTTCACATTTCATACGTCAGTGATTTCTTTCCAAAACTGAATGGCAATAACTTCCTTCTAGTGTGAGGTAACAAATGCTGGGTAAGGTGTAACCTTTCCATATTTTGATGACAATATAGTTTTCCAAGGTGTTCTTCATCTTTGGAGTGTTCTTAAGCACAAAGCTACACAAGAGAGTATCTGTACTCTGCTTACCGCGAGTATTAAAACCCGATTTTTAGAGTTATAAGCCCACACACTTACAGCTGAGCCACCGCGGAGCTCCAAGGTTTTGAGTAAGTACTTTATTCATTTAATTTTGTTATCAAACAATTGCCACGTGAAATATTTTTAATATTCAGATATTATATTACTTTAAATTGTTATTATTACACAGATTTAGGAGACGTAATAAGTTTGGTAAGACTGATTGATTGTTTTGTAGTTAAGCACAAAGCAACACAAAGGGCTAAATGTGCTCTGCCCGCCACGGGTATCGAAACCTGGTTTCTAGCGGTATAGGTCCGCAGACATACCGCTGTGCCACTAAGGGGCAGCTCAGTACGAAACAATTGAAATGTTTAAATTACATGTTTTAATGAATCCTAAAATGTTTATTTTCCTAGCAATTAGACGTCAAAAGCTCCTTGTAAAAAAGCCAGTATTTGTTTGAATATCCAAGATTTTTCAACACTAAGGAATAACCCGGTCTTTGTATTTCATTATTTACTAGTACCTTTCAAGATTTTTTATATTATTGTTTTGTTCTTTCGGGGTAAGTTGTTTATAGAGAGGGACTTAGTTTGTTGTCGGACATTCAACTATAATTATTATTTCAAAAATACATTAATGGAACTTTTAATGGGGTTTAAGTGGTTATAACCCATAATGTTGGGTCATCATCAAGTAACAGTTACATTCAGTAAAACAGTTTGAATTTCAGATAACGTTACAAACTCGTAATGGTGAGAACAGGGTTTGTAAATAGCGTTTAAAATTTATCCTATTAATGAAATTAAATGGATAAAATATTAATAGGGGGGGTATGAATATTTAATTTCGCGTTGACTTTACCGATAGATCCTGTAGTTAGATACACTTCTATACAACAGTAATTACGTAAAGTTGCAAAACTAAATATCAAATATTAGCTATTCTTGAAAGAGTTTCCTAAGCACAAGAATCTTTAGTTACAACAAAGTGTTAGATAATATAAACATTGAAGAGTAATACAACATTTTATCCTCTAAATTATAATGTAATTCATTTCTTGACATTTATTCTCCCATTAACCACGTGCTCACTAGTAACCTAAATATCGTAACTAACAAATATTTACGACTATTAATGAGTAAAGGTCCTAAGTTTCGGGAATGCCCTAAAATTAACTGGAAACGCACCAAACAAGTAATTAGTACATTACTCCGTAAAGGTTTAGTTAACAGGAGTAAAAATAAGGAAGTTAAAAGTAACCCTATTTATAAACTGGGTAAATAAATTTAAAGACGTGATCCATAAACGGATCACATACTTAAAGAAATTCACTATTAACAACAATGACTATGTTATTGGTAAGAAAGAAGTTAGTAAGTATTTAGTTAATGTACACAGTAGATAAGTCATCACTCCCGCCGATAAAGCAACTAAGAACTTTGTTTTCATTTGTAGAAATTTTATATTACAACTTCATGTAAAGAAACTAGGGTTTAACTTGAAACCAATAAAACTTTCGGGTATTCTGGTGTATAAAAACAATATAGAAAATAACATACACTAACATATGACAGTTTTATCAGATTTTGGTGAACATTCCGTTAAACCTAACGATTCCACACCTTAACATACATAAACACATCACAATTTTATCAGACTTTGATGTATATTCTGTTGAACGCTACAATGAGACACCATAACATAAATAAAGACATCAGAATCTTTATCAGACTTTGATGTACATTCCGTTAAACCTAACAATACCACACCTTAACATACATAAATACATTACAGATTTTGGAGTACATTCTGTAAAATATTGTAATGTGATAACTAAATTATTTTGGATTCCCAAAGTAATTAAAACATCGTTCAAATACAGGTTTATTGCTGGGGGCCTAAAAAGTAATGACTGATGATTCGTCAAGTCTGATAAATAATGGTCTGAAATACATTAAAGGACATTTGAAGATATATAGAACCATTATCATTTGTTCATTATCATCATTAATTTCTTTGAATATTAAGAGAAAATTAAAGGCTTTGAAGCTATAACAATGAAAACATTTGGTTTCGATTACTGTTACACTACTGTTACTATTGATAAATCAGAAAGTTATTCATCAACAATTATAAAATCATTTAATAATTCTGGTAAATAATCTATCTGTTACTATGACAATGTTACTCATAATAATTACCACTGTTTTACATCAAACGAATTCTTACAGACCATGTATTTTTTTATATCTTACAACACATTTGTGTAATTTGTTCAACATGTATTTCAACAAATACAAGGAATTCTATTGAAAGATAACTTCAGCCTACAAGTTTCAGGTTTATATTTATTTGAACTGGAATTTTTATGCGTTACAAATAGTGAAGCTTTGCGGATCAGATGCGCCTATAGATATACTGACGACTTTCTTATATATAGTTACCAAAGTTATATTGACACAGCCAAACAAATTCATTCACTGAAACACACTTTAGAAAAAAACTCTTCATCCAAAACATATTATTTCGATTTAGATATCAGTATAATTAACTAAACATCAAATTTCAAAGTTTTAAATAAAACGGACGCTTTAAACATTGAAGTTATAAATCTTCTATTTCCAAATACGAACATTTCGTGTAAGCTGTGTTATGTTTCCTACTCAAAGCTTATTAGATATAACAAGATTTTTTCAACATTACGAGACTCCTTGGATGGAGCTCGTAAACTCAATCTAATTTTCATAAACGCAGTTTCTCCTGTCGCAATTTAAACCTAAATTTTATCAGTATTCCTGGTACTGATTATGGATTGAAAAGATATACAGAGTGTCATGATATTTTGAAAACTTACAAGTTTGCACTTTAATTTCTTCGGAAATTATTTAAAGTAATATTGCGCCGCTTCAGTGTACTGAACACCATTTGTTTTACCACCTGTTAATTTAGGCTATTATTATGTAGGACTAATACCAGCTATATAACAATACCTTATATAATATGACAATATGTAATTAGTTAAGATATATGAAATGTTGCTATTTTTTCTTTGCCATATTTATGATTTTTGTAACTTTCGTTTCTAAGCATTGTTATTAATACTGAA